CATAGCCACAGCCATGCGCAAGCGATTACTACCTGTTCCCAAAGCCCGCAGACCAGCCATTCTACCATACCTCGCACACCCATCGCAAGCCACCACTACCCGAACATTCTTACGTCATCAGATCACCTTTTGTGGCTCGGGGCTCCCAGAAGTGAGCCGTGAGATTTTGGGCGTTTGTTTAAGATGGATTCTGAGGCACTGAGAAAAAAGGAAGACTCCTGCTATTCTTGTCACGAAAAATACCAAGACTCACTCTAAGATGGCATACAACTGACGTTTCAAAATTTTAAACATGGAAAAAGTGGTGCAACTCGGAAATGCAGGCGGCATCTTAGCAGTACCTTCCTAGTAGAATGGCTTTGCAGGCGGCAACTTGGGAGAGGTTAATGGTAAGGGAAACGAGTGGGCGCATGCTTGCTGCAAGCATCAGAAGCAGCGAAGCTCTCATTCTTTCCCGCGAACACTTCTGAGTGACGGTTCGTCTCAAGCCAATACAGCAGCCGACAGACCCCTTTCATGAGTGCTGCAGTTTTGGCAGAAAAGCGTCTACGCTTGTTGATTCGATGGCCTTTGTCGAGAAAGCGCCCTAGACGACACTACACAACGATTGACATAGCAACTTGACTGAGAGTGCGGGCCAACGAAACAAACAAGCCTAAGCGGCAAACAAAGACTTCGCAGCCTTCTGCGCTTCGGCAGCGGCTGTTGCGGCAGACTTCCGTTTCGTGCCCTTAGCTGCTGGCTCTTTGATGCCTGCAGCTACTTTGGACTGCTTACTCTTCCTGCTACTCGCAGCGGCAAGCACTTCTTGCAAGATCTTGTCAGCGTCTTTCCGCTGTTGATCGTTCAAGAACCGCCTAAAAGTAGCGAAGGGTTCCATCTGGGCCAAAGTGAGGTCTTTAGCACTCTTATCAGCGACATCTTTCCAAAGGGCTTGCACGGCATCCTGCCCTGTCAAGACAGGCTCTGCCAATCCTGTGGTGCTCAACACCCCGCTGTCACTGTAGACAGGCTGCTTCCCACTGGTGTAGACAGCAAAGTACTGGGTGCCGGAGAACACGTTCTTGAGGAAATCTGTGCTGTCTGAGTCAACGCACGGTGGCAAACCTTTCTGAATAGCACACAACATGCTGTGCGCGGCACTGATGCTTCCTTGGCAGCTGGAGCCCATGCATTGCAACATGGAGCTCTCCACCATGGATTGGCTATTCTTGACCGCAGTGTCCACTGAGAGTAGGTTCTTGGCGGAAGGTACACACTTCTTGAGGTAGAGATCCTCGACTTTCCTGCGACCACTCTCGCCGCACATGCCGTTGATGAATGCCAGGTCGATGGCTGCATAGGAATCCAAAGCCAAAAACTTGTCACGGTGAACTTTCAATGTCTCCTCGTCTGAAAAGCTTTCGGCAAGGAAAGCAGTACATGGGCTCTAAAGGGTAGGGTTGTGATTTGAAGTTGAAGCAAAGCGTTTCGTGGACGAAATCTCTGGTTGAATACTCACATACCTTATGCGGATAAAGAACAAATAACTACCTAGGGTTTTCCTATGGATCCCGGTCGTATCCTGCATGCCCTCGCCAGTCTTCTCATCTCCAGCCTGCACGAGCGCAGACATGAGCTCCCTCACGGCCTTGGGCTTTGTAAGCAACTCGTCAGAGATCTTGGCATGCTTTGCATCGTCACTGGTTGGGCATAACCACTCCTCTGCAGGCAACAAAGGGATGGACTTTGCCGCTGCTGCTGCTCCCCTCAAAGCCGACATCAAGGCCCAGTCCAACTGCTCTGCCACGCAAGAGACCTTTAGCACTACTGGCCAACCTCGATACTGCACAGTCACTTCTCTGCGATCCGGCAAGTCGTCAATGCAGACCAAGCTCTTGAGCTTCTCCAGGCCGGCCGCCTTCACCTTATGTAGGGCATCAGCGCTGATGGCGGAGAGACCCAGCAACTCTTGCGAGCTCTCCAGGATTGCTGCCTGCACAGACTCGTCAACGACCTTCAACGCTGCAAAGGTGAAAAGGCGTTTGCCGAGCATGGAAGACTCTGTCACCGAACGCAGCTCTTTCGCAACACTGTTCCGCGACTCGTCTTCCCCCAAGCTCAGCAACTTGCGGGTCTGGGGCACTGGGAGCACCAGTGGCCAGACGTCGCTGTGACTGTTGAGCCAGTGCGCCGGCCCGCACCCTGCTTTGGAGACGCTGAGGAAGGCCTGAAGCAGAGGGAGTGACAGGTCACAACACCCCCCTGCTGTATTTTAACCAAGCCAGGATGATACAGCCTTATTCCAGCAGTACTTTAAGCCCAGCTCCAGCACGCGAATCCCTACAACCTACATCCCGAATCGGTGTTGTTTAGCTCCTAAAGCCTGGAAGCAATGTGCCGAGCCTTCTGTACTACAGATTCGCTCCCAAACAACATTTAGCTTTCCAAAACACGTCTTAATTTCAAAAACACCGAAAACTTCCCGACAAGTGCGACGCCCTAAGCGTTGTGAAGTGGGTTGCTGCAACTGTGCATCCCCATTTTGCCAAAACGACTTGCACCACGACGAAGCCCTCACTAACTATAGCGGTTTTGGCAATCCGGATGCTGCGACTGCTATTGTTAGTTGCTGGCCGGCCTCCAAGAGAATCTCGTCCCACTTGGACTTAGCCAAGGAAGCTTCGTGCGGAAACTTCTCGTGGAGACTCAAGCGGGAAACAGTCTCCAAGACTGCCAAACCACTCTTGAGTTGATCATTGCTGGCTGATGGATGAAGGGACATCATCCAGCGCAGCACCCCTACGAACTCTGCTTGGTTGAGAGTTGTTGTGACTTTCAAAAACTGGACAAGCAAAGACCTGTTAGGCGGGTGCTTCAAAGCTGCAGTTGCAGCTTCCACTAGCTCCTGCCTGACTGCAAGGGAAGGGTCAGGGCACAACAGCGCTTCAACTTTGTTGCCGTCAGCGTAGAGGTCACGCAAGCTCTGATAATAGCATTTCCCAAATGCTACGGAGCCAGGCTGTTCTTGCTGCTGCTGCTGCTTATCACGCATCAAGCGCTGTCTTAGGGTAAGGCCTTCCCTCACTGTTCCGTCGATCTCAGCCGCTGACATATTCTTGAAATTGTCAGCTAAGCTCTTGCGCACTTGTGCGTCCACACTGTTGGTTTTCTTTGGCCGGGACACTTTGGCTTTCGACCCTGACAAAAGCTGCCACTCTTCAGCCAGCTTCTTGCCAGCCATTTTTTTCGGGGTTTCCATGGCCGCGAGCACTACAGCCACGAGCTACACCGCTTGAGGGCCTGTTTTCAGGACCTTTAAACCTTTACTCACCGGAAGCACGGCCACAGGTGTTTGCATGCATGCTCTCCGCCAGTTTCTGATGTGACTGTGAAGCAATGTTTCTCGCCGGTTGCCTCTGAAACAGATCATCACCACACTTGCACTCTGCTAGCAATATTGGGGTTAAGGCTCAATAGATTTCGGAGACTGTCTTTACGAGTTCTCTCGTTTAGATCGGGGCTTATTGAAGAGAGTAGGGTTCCAAGGTATTTTATACGATATTAATAAATTTCACCTAAGAAACCTACAAAAATCTGCTCTCGCAGGAGCGCCAGCCCAACATCCGTGGCCGCCGTCCTCCCTTTCAATGGCGTTTTCGGCCAGGATCCGCGGAGCAGGAAACTCCCGACCCCTCTCACCGCCCTATGGGTACGCGAGCTGAGACCCTGCCCAGGGACCGCGGGGCAGGAAACCCCCGCCCCCTCTCTCCCACTCTACGCAGAAGAGCTGGCCCGCCTTTTTTTTAATGAGGATTTTGTTGCGGCCACAGAACAAGCTTCGCCCAGAGGTCTCGTGAAGAATGCTGTGGAATTCGTGTGGATTCTTTTAAATCAGGTTACAATCTTAAAAAAACTTCACGAAAACTTCATGCACAATTTCACACAAAACTTCGCAACAAACTTCGCACAACAACTTCACACCAAGCTTCGTAACAAACTTCGCACAAAACTTCACACCAAACTTCGCAACAAACTTCGCACAAAACTTCACCCCAAAAACTTCGCCAGCAACATAGGCTAAAACATCACCAAGCAAACTCGGAATGTCGTTTTTTGTTTTTTTGCAGAGGACGCCATTTAGGCGCGTGCTTCAATCTTCAAGATGGCACGAGCACGGACCAAGCTCTTGCCTTCAAGCGTGTGCATTCTCGCCTCCATCTCTTCAGGAAGCACGTACTTGGATAGATCTTGCTGTGAGATACCCTTCTTTGCTTTGCCTGTCTCTTCCCACGCCGCGCACAGGAAAGACATGCGGTGAATCCACAGTTTTGAGAGAAAGCTCCCTCCCTCTTCTCCGTACACAGACCGCTCGAAACTCGAACTCTTTGTCAGCTTGAAAGCAGCGCACAGTTCAGCTGCAGTTGTGCCTTTCTTTACGTCCACCCTGATGCCATAGATGGCGCGGCCTGTCCTCTCCACCTGCCACTGCCCTCCTAGAAGGCTTGTTCTGAACATGTCGCCGTGCTCTGCAGCATCTCCTCGGAGCACGCAGCGCTGGTTTTCCAGCGCAGTGAACAGGTCGTCGTAGTCGCCATCTTGCCCACCAGCACCTTCCAAGCCATCATGCTCTGAAGCTGGGTCTCCCAAAGTGTCGTCTGCAGCATCATCGGGAAGCTCTTCCCGATCACTGTGTTCCTGCGATGCGTTCACCGTGGTCACAGCAGCCAGCCAGGGATGCTCCTCAACAAGGCTAGGCTCAGCAGCACGGCGTCTCGCAGTGGGCGGGGGCACAAGATCCGGCTCACGGGCCTGCTCCGGCGCCAGAGCTGTCAACACAGGTTGCAAAGGCTGCAAAACGTCATGAGACAGCACCCGTCCATCTGCTGCAAACCAACTGCGCATGACAACGCTGACTCTGTTAGGGTCTGTGTTTTCCAAGACAGTTCCGGACACAAACTGTCCTGCGCGAAGCCTCCACTGCCAGAGGTGAGCTGCAGCCCACTGCTCTGCCCAGCCTTTGCCTACATCTGCCGACCTGTGCTCAACTGTCTCTACATCCAAGTCTTGGAAGAACACTGCCAAGGGATTCTGGGACGCGAAAAGAAACCGCAGCCAGCGGTCGCTTCCTTCCTGGGGCACGCAAAAAACTGCTTCACGGAAAGTGTCACGCATGTGACACAGTTGCTTTGCAATGACGGAAAGACCTTGCAGACTCCGCAAAGGCAACTGCGAAGCCGCTTCCAGCTTGGCAATGTCTGCTGACGGCAGCGGCTTCGGGCAATCCAAGCATCGTTCCCGCAACTTCTGCAGCTGTTTGCCTTTGAAGCTCCCTTCCTGCAGGAGACTGCCAAGTCTCTGCAAGGAGGGCTTGTCCAATGCACAGCTGGAAATGAGCATTGAACCCTGCGGATCCCTGCTCTTTCCTGCCTCACCACGCAGACTGGCAAGCTCCTGGCGAAGTGACACCAAGTCTTCAGTGCGACGCATCTGCTTGGACGCTCGCTCTGCCTCAGCTTCCTGCTCGTAGGCTCTTTTCGCCTCTGCAGTGAGCTTCTCCCAATGAGCTCCGTGATATTTCATGATTCGAGGTCGCTTGTAGTGCGAAGCCACACCACGAGAAGTCTCGAGCGTAGAAGCTTTCTGCATGATGTATCTCAAGAAGACTTGCCGCCCAGTAATGTAGTTTGGGTTTGCTTTCAATGTCTTCACGAGTTGGGACACCAGTGCTGCTCTCTTTCGGTCTTCTTCGGACATTCCAGGCAGCATTTGGGCAAAGGTGTGGCAAAAAGCACGCGCCATGAGCATGTTGTCGCCAAGCTCGGGGTGATGTCTCCGGACACGACTGGTGGAGGCATGCTGCTTCTCCGTAAAGGCGGATGTCCAAGAGCATTCCCCTAACAACCGAACAGCTTCTGTCAAGCGGTGGCGGTTGTACCCAGCTTGTCCAAGCAGATACAGCTTCTCCGCGACGGGCTCACTGGGGCATTCTTCGCGACTCAACAGGTCCTCTAGGTTCTGAGCAATGTCTCCTGCGCACAAGGACCAGGGAAGTGAAGTTGCGACTGCAAGCACACGCCACTCCAGAAAAGCCCACGAAACCAAAGCGCCCTGGATCACGGCACTTCGGAGTGTTTCGGGCCGGCCCTTGACTGCCTGGCTTAGGTAACTCCAAACAGCTGTCGGCAAGTTGTCCAGAAAACTAAGCTCTTCAAAGAGGAGTTCCTGTAAAGACTCTTGCGTTTTGGCCACACGCGCATCTTTGAGCACATGCAGCAGAAACGTCTCGGGCAAAAAAGCTGCCATGCCCACAACCACCACGAAGTGTCGCTCGGCGTCACCTATGCGCCGGCAGCCATTCCATTCATACTCGCCCAAAATACCCTTTTCACGCATGTAGTGCAGTAGGTTCATGTAGCCCAAAAGCAATGCACTTGTAAGGGCCCTGCACGAAGAGCCGACGGTGCACCACCTGGACTCTGTGAAACGCTGGAAACGCCAGACCCCCAGCAGAGCAACAGAAACCTGCTCCAGCCAATCTGCTTGCGACAATGCATCTTGGCTGATAAGTAGTCTGTCCTCTTGCCAAAGCAAACGGCAGTTTGCCAGAATCTTCGCACATTCCGAGTCGACGCCCAAAGAAGTCCAGAGCAACAACATCTCCTGGGCGTCGGGCAACAGTGGCTCTGGCCAAGGTTGCAACTTCTCAACAAGCCATGTGCCTAAAATGTCGATGGCATTGAAGTATGCCGCCCGGCAAGCAGCAATGCCTATGTAGACAGACTCCAAGAGCAGCTTGTCATTGAAAAGAGCTTGGTGTGCCCACTTCAAGGAGTTGTGCGCATCATGAGCACAGCAACCTACGTGGGTGTGCAATTCATGCAAAGCAACCACGTCTTCGGACGCTGTCCCTGCTGCGGACGACGCTTCGCAGGCCCGTGTGAACCAGAAACCAGACATCGCGTTCGTGAAACTTTGTGTGATGCCCCTGTCGTGCACCTGATGTCTCACGCAAATGCGACCTGGCTGGGAGGGAGACAGGCGCATTCCGGGATTGTCAACAGCGCATGAAGCGAGCGCTCGCATCGTCTTTCCGTGCTGCAGACGTACCGGGTCTCTGAACACCATCGTTTGGATAAAGCCACCGGCGACATCACGGACCGTGACGAAGAGCTGGCACACCAAATAATCGTGTTGGGTCTTGGCAGCCCGCTTCACATGGAGGTCGCCCTGTTTTCGCGACACCCGCTGGCAAGTTCTCACAGGTGTGGTGTCCAAACTGAACTGCAACAGAACTGGTTCCAGGGCAGCCTCGTTCAAAATGATGGCCGCGCGCTCCTTCAGCAGTGTTTTTGCTGCCTCAACTAAACATAGCACATCGGGTGTTTCCGCAGAACTTATGGAAGCGCTGCAGCAGGCATATTGCTTGATGCGATTGATAACCGCATCCTGTACACTTTCTACATTCCCCTGCGCCCCCCTTTGGGCCATGACGCTTCGCCGTCAAAGCCCTTCTCATGAGACTGCTGAATTCTCCATGCACAACATGTCAATCAGTTAGACGTGCGCTCTCTTCCGAACACTACAAAAGAAAATTCAAACACAAAACTTCACATGAACTTCGTTCTGCAGCGACTGGGCCATAACACCTTACACCGCCAACACACCTTAC